AAAGAGTTACACGCTGCAGTTAAAACCCCTGTAGCAAGGCTGAAATGCTGATGCTCCCTATATAAAATGCTATAATATAAAAATCTAACTGTTTACTGCAGTCTAGCAATGGGCTGGTTTAATAACCAGCTGCTGCAGCGAACCCTGTTCAGGTCTTCCAGCCAGGGGGGTCCATCAATAGGACTTTGTTCACAGAACATTGCAACAAACATCATCCAATCAGCGAGGAAGCCGTAAATTCATATTCCTGATTAAATTAACTATAGACACTGACAACTGCAGTATGTACCAGCAGCTGCATTTGTAGTTAATATGTTTTCGGGGTGTAAGCAAGTATAGGAGGAAAAGCTTAACTCAAATACCAATTCCTACTTGGAAAAATATTTGGGAGATGAGACTTGCCTAAAAACAAATCCCCTTCTCCAACGATGGAAATTATCCTGTCAGCAAGCAGCACTTCTCTGAAAGACAGATAAGAACCAGATGTGAAGATACAAAGACATTGTCATGTTTATTTATTTGTCTTTCTCTCCAAATCTCGTAATTAGTTCCTGAAAAATTCATTCTATTAGAAAAAAAGACAGCAGCTCATTCACAAGTTCTTTTTACTTTTCCCTGAAGCTTTGAGAGTGATTTCAAGGTGTTTTACCGAACTGCACACTCCATATCCTGGCAAACAGCAAACATTACTCTCCGAGTCAAGAAGCTTATATTTTAGCTTACTGCTTATGAAAGTTCCACCCCCCTGCCCTGGGCAGGGACACCTCCCACCAGACCAGGTTGCTCCAAGCCCCATCCAACCTGGCCTTGAACCCCTCCAGGGATGGGGCAGCCACAGCTTCTCTGGGCAACCAGGGTCTCACCACCCTCACAGCAAAGAATTTCTTCCCAATGTCTCATCTAAATCTACCCTTTACCAGTTTAAAACCATTCCCCTTTGTCCTATGGCTCCACTCCCTGATGAAGAGTCCCTCCCCATCTCTCCTGTAGGCCCTCTTGAGGTACAAGAAGGCTGTTATAAAGTCTCTCTGGAGCCTTTTCCAGGCTGAACACCCCCAACTCTCTCAGCCTATCAATAAGCTTCTAGATGGCAGCGTAGGAGAGAGGTAATGGAGAGGAGGATTCAGACAGCAGGTGAGTCTAATCCAGTGTAACCTCAGATACCACATCACCTACTCCCGATGTGTGCACAAAGAAAGAGGCTGTCATGTCAGGTACCACCTCCACAGCACATTGTCAGAAGAGCAGTCACAACTTGGCCACAAGAGAACTTTTCAGTATAATTCTTAAAAAAACCCACAATAACCCCAACAAATAAACAGGAGAAACCCAAAATGTAGCTATGTTTCCAGAAAATGTGTCATTTAGCAACATGACAGGAGTCTGCTAACTAGAATTCCACCAAAAGGTTTTCTTCTCAGGCCATGAAGACATGGTTTAGTGATGGTTTTTTTCAGACTTAGGTTGATGGTTGGACTAGATGATCTTAAAGGTCCCTTCCAACCGAGACAATTCTGATTCTACAATTCCATGTATCACTGCTGTATTACTAGTAATCCTGAATGTTGTTGGTCTGGCTTTTTGAGGAAGAACAACATAGAAGAGTAAATAAACCTTGAAAAAATTAAAAAATTATACATTTGGGAACTTATCAGAGGGAGATAAGAGTAGCTTCAAATAATTATGGAAAAATAATTGCCAAGCATGACAAAAGCATTTAAGTTTTTAATTTCAAAAATAATATAATTCTTGTGTACTGAATATTGAAAACTGCACTCCAAAATTAAAAACCTCATTGCTTAAAAATATAAGCAGTTATTTTGCAGTGTGTATTTATTTCTTCTATGATGGGAGAAAAAAAAGAAGGGAGCAAGAATCTTATTTTGGTTCCTTCTTGAGAAATCGGGATTGTATTATTTTGAATTTGGTTCTGGCTGAGTTATAGATATTAGCTGAAAGCCATGATAAATTCAGAGGAAGGGAACAGTTTGTAAGAACTCCTAATCAGTGTTCACAGAACAGAAAATCCATCATTCCCTGTGTATGATCAGCATATAAGCACTGCTTTTGAAAGGTTAGTAGTTGTTATGGTTTGTCCTCAGAATCTTAATTATGAAAAATAACAAATTTGGCATGGGTAATTGTAGCACTATTAATTTTAATTCATATTTCAAGAGTGCAGGAACACATATCCAGATAGTAGAAAACTTTTTGAACTGAATTACGCTAATTTTTTCTCCAGATTAATTAAATGAGTGCTCTTTAACTCTCTTCGTGATCAGCCATAATCAGGCCTTTCATTTCACCTTCAGGCTTATGCTTTCCTGAGCGACGCCACTTTCATTGCATTTTTTTTCCTTTTCTTGCATTTAAAATCGTTCCTTTTCATTCATTAACAAACCCTACATGAACATTTGTTGTCCATATGCAATTGTGATAATAGAAGTCTCGCGAATGGAAATAGCTATATGTTTTCCCACTCTGAGGGCTGGGAAAACTTGTCAGTTGAAATATAACAGGCTGCTTTTGCCAAGTTTTCTGGTTGCATCTGAATAGGAGTATCTGTGAAATTAAGTAACATTTTCATACTTGATGGTTTGTCAGTTGTTTAAAACAAAAAAAAAAAGATAGCTGATACGGCAATGTAAATATGAAAACATATTAGCAGTGCCTTCCTCTCTTTTGGCAGAGCTTCAAAAGTAGCTATGAGCATGGCAGGTCCCTTGACGCAGCCATCTTCTTGCACACGTGTTGGTGTTCCACCTTCCCTGGTCTACTCACTGGTGCAGTTCACCATGCAGATGGTCAATAAGGAAGAACTACAAACACAACTTCTGGCATAGCACTACTATGTTGCGAGGCCACTCTCCAAAATCTTTGAGAAGTCATGGAGATCAGGAGACATCCCAGCAGACTGGAAGAAGGTTAATGTCACCCTCATCTACAAGAAGGGCTGAAAGGAGGATCCAGAAAATTACAGTTCCATCAGTCTTACTTCAGTCCCTGGGAAAGTTATGGTCCTGGTGGACAAGCAGCTCAATAGGAGTGAAGAATGTGCAAAGAAAGCCAACAGGATGCTGGGGTGCAAGAAAATTACAGTTCCATCAGTCTTACTTCAGTCCCTGGGAAAGTTATGGTCCTGGTGGACAAGCAGCTCAATAGGAGTGAAGAATGTGCAAAGAAAGCCAACAGGATGCTGGGGTGCATCTACAAGGGCATCACCACCAGAGATAAAGAAGTCATTACCCCACTCTGCTCAGCACTGGTCAGGCCACACCTGAGATCCTGTGCTCAGTTTTGGTCCCCACTGTACAGGAAAGACATGGAGAGAGTGGAGAGGGTCCAGAGAAGGGCCACCAAGGTGATCCAAGGACCAGGCAGCTGCTGTATGAGGAAAAGGCTGAGAGAACTGGGTTTGTTCAGCCTTGAGAAAAGAAAGCTCAGGGAAGACCTTATCACCATGTTCCTGTATTTCAAGGGTGGCTACAAAGAAGAGGGAGACTCCCTTTTTACAAGGAGTCACATGGCAAAGACAAGGAGTAATGGGTACAAGTTACTCCTGGGGAGATTCCAACTGAACACAAGAGGAAAATGTTTCACACTGAGAACAATCAGCCCTTGGAATCATCTCCCCAGGGAAGTGTGGATTCCCCAGCACTGGACACTTAAGATTCAACTGGACAGGGTGCTGGACCAGCTTGTCTAGACCATGCCTTTGCCAAGAAAGGTTGTACCAGATCACCCTTGAGGTCCCTTTTAACCTGGTATTCTAGGGTTCTATGATGATATGCACCCAGTTTCCAAAAAATGTCCTTTTTCCCAACCTGAAGCATCCTCCTAGATGAAAAGGAAGATTTTAGACCAGGCTGCAGGACACCATTATCTCAACTGTATCCATTGACCATGGTGGGATCCATGGTGCAAAGCCAAGTGTTCTCCTTCTTGTCCATTGCTGCTCTCGCCCAGATGATTGCATGTCATTGCCTCCAGTGGGAACCACATGGGACGTGTATGGCTGGGTTTGGGCAGTTTTCACCCAATTTCTCTCAATGTCTCACAGCCCTATGGAGCCAACATCTGTACCTTGCTCCCTGTCAAGTGCTTCCATAAAGACAGGCCCCTGTGGCAACCAGCCAGCCAGGGCAGGCAGCTCCTCACAGGGGGAAGACAAACACACCATACCGATGTTTAATATTTGTTATTATACCACTTATTTTGCACCGTAATGGGCTTTCTCTATGTTCAGCTACCTGAGCATCCTGGGAGACTTCCAAAACCTAGCAGCAGCTGGAGGTATTAATAAACCATAACTCACTTTCCACATCAATTTCATATCCGGAGAACAAAAAAAAAAAACAAACCAAACCCGATTTTTAGACATTTTAATGTCTAACATAAGCTAAAGAAGCTTCAGTAAACAGCATTTACCTCAGGAGCGTGTGCCGGCCGAAAACCTGCACGCTCGTGTCACAGCGCAACGCCTGAAGCAGCATCTGTCAAAAAAACCCAAAATGACGAGGCCTCACGTTAAAGTAACTCATTTGAAGGACGGCGGATGCCCGCAGGAGCCCAGGGGTAGAGGTGGCCTCCCCCGGGTCGGCTCAAAGCACAGTCCCCCCCAACTCAGCGCCCTCCCTCACGGCGGGGCCGGGCCGCGACATGGCGGCGGGGCACCCCCGGACTCGCCCTCCTTCCCCTCCCCTCAGCGCTCTGCCCCTCCCTCTCCCCGCCCTCTCCCGTTTTGGCGCCAAAGCGGCCCTGAGAGAGACCGAGCCCGCGGCGGGATGAACGGCCATCAGCCCGGTCGCCACCTTAACGGGTAGGCTGGCCGCCCCCGGGCTCGCCTCCCTGCCGCCGAAGGAGTTGGGCTGAGAGGGGCAGAGGCACGGAGGGGCGGCGGGGAAGAGGAGGGGGAGGCCGCGTGGTGCTTTTCTCGTCCCTCCGTCGGCGGTTGCGGCCCCGGCGTGTGAGGGGGGAGAGCGGCCGGTGGTCTCCGGAGCGGCCCTGAGGGGCTCTGAGGCGGGAGGGGGAGTCATGGCCGCTGAGGGGGGGCTCCCCCTCACAGGGCTCGGTGAAGGGCAATACTGCTCGGATGGGCCTCGGTATTTCTACAGCGGGTTTGTATTTGCGGGTTTGGTGGGTTGTCTCTCAGGAAAAAAGTGTTAATGTCGGTCATTTTCAGTGCACAGTAAGTAAACTTTCAGTTTGCAGCAAGAAAGGTTGATTTTATTTCCCCCCCCCCTCTATCTCTCTCTCAAAACTTTGCCTCCCGGTGGTGATGGCCATCTCTCAGTAGCTGTGTGAGTGCAAAGAGGGCAAGCCTCGAGTGAAGGAAATGCCACATTTGCTTGATATAAAAGCGATCTTGAATTATATTTGAGATTTAAAGAAGGAGCTGGTCATGAAAGTCACCAAGAACACCCATATCCGGTTTGGCTTTCGGGGAACAGGGGCGCTGCAGGTGCTTAGGGGAAACAAATGTTATTGTTATTTTTAATACACGCTTTACCTGTCTTATTACCTTAAACTCTGTGAGTTTGGTGACAAAATATTGGTAGTTGATCTTCGGTAGTGTATACTTGATAGTGGGGAAAAGGAACTACTCCAGTGCAGTTGGAACAATGCACATGACAGAGATAAGGAAGCAGAGGAAAAACTTGAAGAAGAGAAAGAAGTCTGATACCCACCAGTTGTACTATATTGTGTCATAGTGCTCCTATGGAAAGATTTGAGGTGATGTGTTGTGTTTTTAGGATTCTTAACTAAATTTTTCATTAAGATAGACCTCTTTTGGTTTTTTTTGGCATCTGAGTGAAATTTCTTCCATTTTCAGGTGGTGTTTCAGCTTACTTGAATCCTAGATGGATGTAAAAGAACTGAAAAGGGAGGCACTGTCCTCTTAATTGCAGAATCTTTTTTCTTCTGTTTTCCTTTGAAATACTGTTTACACAGACTTTTATACAGGCTACTAATTGCTCTAGAAGTTAAGGATATTTTTTCCCCCTTTCTTCTTGAGCAGTGTTATCTTCATGGCTTTCAGATCCCATTATTTTTATTCATAAGCTCCTATGAGTTATCACGAGGATGAGCCTTAATTGCTTATATTAGAGGTAGCTGTAGTATTTTCTAGAGTAGCTTTCATTCATGCAATTCTGGAACTACAAATGAGCGTAAGGGAGAGGATCAGCTGCCCCAAATCCATAAACTTAATTTCCCTGTGTGTGCTTGACTGCTAGCCAAGGCCTTGGCTTCTGCTCAATCAGAAATTAAGTGTTTTATACCCATTTCGCACTCCTGCGTTCCTGCACACTGAGTTGAGGGAATTATCTCACCAAATACAGTGATGTTAAGTAGAAGTAATTGAGTAAGGGTTCTCTTTTTTTTTTTTTTTAATGTTCTCTTTGATGTAAGCCTTCTGCTCATTTTTCAGATAGGCTCCTCTCCCTGTGAAGTTGGTACTCTGAGGGACCTCCACTTAAGCACAGCTCTGTATTTACCAGAAAAGTAAATAGTAGCTATTGTTGTGTTTTGAATAAACAGGGTTGCTAGGGAATAATTTAAAAGGAGATCGCACAATCACTTCGTTGAGAGAACTGTTGTCTTTCTGGAGCCCTTTCCCCAGAATGTTTTACTTGGTGGAGTTTGCATTGTGTGCTTCCTGCCTCTCCAAAGGCATCACTGCGAGTGTCACTTAGTCGGGAGTGTATTAAACTGATCATTTAAAGTCTAGTGGTGTTTTGGATTGTGTAGATCTGCTTTTGTGAGATATTTTAAATAATCACTTAAATTAGCTGGAGCACTTTCTTGATGTTTCAGTTAACCTGCCGAAGCTCAATTTGTCACAGAGAGGTATGAGGGCATGTCTTCTAATTTCTTCTTTCTGCTGTGAGCTTCTTGTTCTCTGAACACTTTTCTTTCTTAGCAGGGTATAGCCTCAACCCTTTGGTTATGGTGACTCAAGCCAGTTTGGGCATTCAGAATCAGACAAACACAGAATGGTTTGGGTTGGAAGGGACCTTAAAGACCATCAAGTTCCACCCCTTCTGCCCTGGGCAGGGACACCTCCCACCAGACCAGGTTGCTCCAAGCCCCATCCAGCCTGGCCTTGAACCCCTCCAGGGATGGGGCAGCCACAGCTTCTCTGGGCAACCTGGGCCAGGCTCTCACCACCCTCACAGCAAAGAATTTCTTCCACGTACTTGATTTGTGTGCTTGCTTTGACAACTGACAGTTCTGGGCACTATTTACAATGTTGTCAATGTGTGGGAGAGAGTGGATGTTTCTCCTGCTTTATTTTGAGACTATGGCCTGAGAGATGATCCTCATTCATTCCAAGAACAAGCCAAAATTGCTAACTCGTAATCTGCCATCTATGAACTATTCAAACCCAGAATTTTATCTTTGGTAAATAGCACCCTGTAGGTTTCTAAAGTAGGAATGTTGTCATGTGCTGGCATTGTCTTCACTCAGATAACGTAACCTCTTTATGACAAGCTCACTGCAAGCCTCTAATACGTGGGTTTGGTTGTAAAAATAATAATTAACAAAATACTTGTCTTCTAATGTTTATTTGTCTTCCAAAAGTGCTGGTGCTAGTGTTGCTAGGAGATGCCTTGCTGCTTGCAGTTACCTATGATGTATTTTTCTGTGTGGCTGTATGTCACTAGAAGGGTATCTCGGACTTAACTTTTAGTGCTCAGTGAGGGGAGCCCAGGAAGAAAAGTACTGTGCCCTTTTTATTTTGATTGGCTAATTATTGTATTTGAGATATTGCATCGGTTTGGTTTTCAAGTGTAGTGATAATAGGTGAGAGTTTGGGGAAATTTCTTTCAGTTTAATCTCTTCCTTGAAATTTTCGAAGCTTAAATATGCTGGGGAGGGGGGCGGGAGGAGGTAAGTCTGTCTTTCATGTTTTTGAGCTGAAAAGCACAGAACTTCCCCTATTGGGTCTTACACTGCTCGAGCAGTCCTTCAACCGTAAGCAGGCAAGAGAAAACGATGCATCACCTTTTTTCCCTCCTTCCTTCCCCCAAATAAGCTCCCCAGTGCAGGGAAAGAAGGAACCTTTTGTGCCACTTCTATACGTTATATCGAAGGGAAAAGTTCTTAACCCATCTCTCAGTTTTTAGAAGGGTTTCATAGGCCATAATCTCAGGAGAAACTTAGTGAGGGACTATCAGAATGGCTTCACGTTTTTGCTGGTAAATGTAATGAGAGGCAAACTCCTGGCACTAACTGTATGGGCAGAAATTAATGACTGCACAGGAAGCTCCCAAATAGAAATCTAGGAAGCACTTGTGACAGGCAGAAGTACAAAATAGCTTAGATTAGAGGCTTGCAGTTAGTGCAGTCATCCTAAAAAAGATTATGTTGTTTGGGTGAAAAGAATGCCAGTACATGATACACCTGAATCTTAGAAACACGCAAAATGTTATCTATAAAGGATAAATTGCTCCCTCTTTGAATAGCTCAGTGCTCTGAATTGCTCAGCCATCTTATCTAAAACTGAAATTTGCAAACCCGCTTGGATGCCTTTCCCCTGAAAGGAAATGTTGCATATATAAATTCCTGGAAAGCATGTAACACTGATGGTTTTACTGTTAAAGTATTAGTGAATGTTTGCTTTAAACTTGTGGACGTTAAAAAAATAGAATCTCTAATAACTCTAGCTATGTGTTGTTTGCTGATGGCTGGTTTTTGTTAATTTTTTTTTCCATAAACTATAGTTTGGGCAATGAAGCATCCTGCAAAAAGCGAGAGGATTATTTGGAATGGCCTGAATATTTTATGGCAGTAGCTTTTTTGTCAGCACAAAGAAGCAAGGATCCAAGTTCTCAGGTAAGAAGGCAACGCGTAAGAATAACATAACCTAATCTGTATCACACATTGCCTCAGATGCACATGTAGCACTTTCAGGGATTTCTTATTAAAAGTTATTTCAGTATATAGCTATTTGATTTTTAACATGGTCAGCACCTTTTGTTACAGAAATTCTCTTACTGGGCCTGACCTCATGTGTATAATTCTGTGTGTACATTTGCAGCTTAGAGTTTTGTAAATCTTCTTTTCATCTGGAGGTTAAAAGAACACATGCATTTTCTCTCCTTTTTCCACTAAATACAGTTACTGTTAGACGAGAATAAAACTACTGGAAGTTTTAGATAGGAATTTGTTAAGACACAGCATTTTAAAAGTTCCTTTTCCTCACCTATAAGAGTATGAAAATTCCCTTTTGTTTGTTCTTGGGTTGACTGGGATTTTATTCTAGTTTGGTTCCTCCCTTGGGGTTCCCCTTTCCCCTCTGCTTCTCTGTGCCCAGTCTTCACTTCTTTCATGTGAATATTGGATTGAGGCAACTGATACATCTCCTGAAACATGCTGTTTTGCAGGGCCCAGGTGTCCTGTTAGTCTTCCTTTGTGTGAAAAAGCTCAGGAAGCAAATCCCAGAAGAGCCACGGAGTAAAATGCATGTTGAGTTACTCGCTGGCTTCTGTGCATTATGACTCTCAGCTTTCTGGAGGTTATTCACTTAGGGCTAAATTTTTGTTACTCAGAGCTGGTTGATAAATATGTGAATTAAAACCAGCACTATTGCCGTGTCAATAAGTCTAAAATATGGGCAGAAAACATAAGAGCAGGAGGTTTCAGCATTCTATAAGAAGGGTCCCTGTGCAGACTTGGGTTGAAGTAGGAAAGGGTGGAAGTTAAAAGTTCTGGTATTTTGTGTAAACAAACCAGGAGGGTTTGTGAGCCTGTCTCTACCTAGGTCAACACTACTGAATTTCTATTCCATCTTCCATACTTTTTCTTTTGCTGCTTCAGCTAGAAAAGCTCCTTCAGGGCGCTGAACTGACAGAAAGCTTATGTTTAGTAGAGTTAATTCAGTGCTGGTTCTGCTCCCTGACCTTGGTTTATATCATAGTGGGACAAAGAACAGTGCTGGCAGCTGGGATAGGGGCTGCTTCACCAGAGGGGCAGCAAGGTTGTGTCTAGGGAGATGTAGATGAGATCTCAGGAAGAAATTCTTTGCTGTGAGGGTGGTGAGAGCCTGGCCCAGGTTGCCCATAGAAGCTGTGGCTGCCCCATCCCTGGAGGTGTCCAAGGCCAGGCTGGATGGGGCTTGGAGCAACCTGGTCTGATGGGAGGTGTCCCTGCCCATGGCAGGGGGGTTGGAACTGGATGGTCTTTAAGGTCCCTTCCAACCCAACCCATTCTATGATTCTGTGACGTATTTTACAGCACCACCAGTTAGGCCCAATTGTAGCCTTGCTCACTAGAAGGTGTGACATTTTACAGCACCACCAGTTAGGCCTAATTGTAGCCTTGCTCACTAGAAGGTGTGACTTAATATTAAGTGAAGCTTGTCTCTCTTAAATGCAAACTGTAGGACTGACTTTTCAAGTCTCATCTTTCTTGTTGATGCATCGTTTTGCCTGCTGTTTGTACTACATAAATCTCATTTTATTTAGGTTGGTGCCTGCATTGTAAATTCAGAGAACAAGATTGTTGGGATTGGATACAATGGGATGCCTAATGGCTGCAGCGATGATGTACTACCCTGGACAAGAACAGCAGCACACAGATTAGACACAAAATATCCCTATGGTAAGGCTTCTTCTGGTTAATCGGTCTCACTTGTGATGGCTGTATATGTGAAAGTTCAACTGGTAAAATATCGATCAGTTTTTCTTCCACTCACCTGATTTTTGTTAATGTCCCCGTGTGTGGTACATCGGGATGAAAATCACAGCTCTGAAAATAAATGAAAACAGTCTTTATGAAGGACTGGCTTCCTGCTGAATTCAGGATTAGCCGTTTCGGATCGTGTAGTGAAAACTTGTAAATATAATGCAGCTCATTAGCACACAGTTGCAGTGTTTGCAGATGATTGCTGCTTCTGAGTGTTCGTCTCCCCAGAAATTACAGAGAGCATGTATATGCAAAACAAATACATTTTGTTCTAAAACACCAGTATTAAAAAAACTCGAGTAGTTGTGGGAAATTCCAGTGTTCAGGTGTTGATGGCACAGGCAATACATATTGGTGTCTTGAGTATGTGATTGCATTCTGTCACTCCACGCCATTTCTGCCTCATCTGCTGTGCCCTGCTAGGGGTGAGGTGAATTTTGTTGCTTATTTCAGCCTCTGGTTTGATTCCCATTTACTAAATGGCCAAAAGGAATGAAGAGCAAGGACAGTTTCATGGTAAATGTGGCCAAATGCTGCTTTGGATCTGTCTGTCTTTGCAGTAGGTGTAGTTTGGCCTTCTGCAAGCCCGCTTTGAAGGGTCCTCTGCAAATCTTGGTGCACCTATTATCATTATTATATCATTATTATTATTACCTCCTTTGGGCCAAGTGTGGTTTGCAGCAGGGTAGTAGTTACCTCCTTTGGGCCAAGTGTGGTTTGCAGGAACCAAGGAGACAACTTGCTGGGTGGCCTCAAGCTTCAGTGCTGTCCTTTGGGCATGGAAAAGGAGTTGAGAGCTGCCTCCTGGTTAGACCTGATAAGGAAGGCAGGAGTGAACGTGCTCTTAAATTTCCCTTCATCTTTCTGCTTCCACACCAGTTTCTGCTGCACCTCTGTGGGGTGAGACCAATGCAGCAGAAGCCATGGGCTCAGGAAAGTGGGGTATGAGGAGCTCCTTCATCCTGTGCTGCATCTCAGCCTGTCCTGGTCCTAGGAACAGGAGGGAAAGAATCACAAAACCAAACAAGAGGTCTGAGGAATTTTCCCTTCCCCCTGCCCGGGTGGGGGGAAGTGAGCTTCTGCAAAGAGATCCTCTTTTCCAGCATACAGTATTTCACTTGGCCTGCTAATTCTAGTTTTTTTACTTGGAACTCCTAACAATTGGTCTGATGCAGAAATCAGACTTGCATGAGTTCTGACATTCCCTGTGCTCACTCAGAGCTCTCTCAGAAGCCGGCGTTACGTTTCCTGTAGCGCCGCAGTGAAAGATGATACGCGGGGGCTCAGCACATAATTCATCAGTTTCATACTTGAGTTCTTAAAACCCCGGTACTTTGTCCTTGTTCACTTCACCAATTTATTATAAAACCTCTAACGCTAACTCTTAAGCTGGAGACAGTTTCATATTATTTTTCATAAGAGATGTATTCCCGATACTGGGGCTGGCTCCTGCCAAATTTCAAGTCTGCTCTAAAGCACAGAAAAACTGGTTTTATGTCTAATGACGGTTCCACAGTGGAACAACTTGGTATGACTGCTCTTTATTTATAGGGTGAGGAAACAAGTGTTAGCCCATTGATTAAATGGAAAGTACTGAAAACAGAATATTGATTTTGGTTGAATCTTTGCGCTGCTGTAAGGTCTCAGTTCTGAACTAAGGTCAGTGTGGGTGGTCTCTGGGACCTGAGTGTGTTCCAGGCACTCAAACCTAAGCTGACCAATTTAAACTAAAAATGCTGTATGAATTTATGAGGAATCTTTTTACAAGATGACCTGAGAAGAATTTTATTTTTTTTATTTAACTCTGACTCTGAAAGATGTGGAGTAAAGTATAAATGTCTAATGCGTGATGTTTAAAAAAAAATGCACTAACCAATCTAACAGGTTGGAGAAATGAGTTCATTTCTAGGAGTTGGTCTAACTCCTTACTAACCCTTTCCCCCAAGAATCATAGTCTTCACCTCATTAAAAAAAAATCACAACTTTGTAACATAAAGTGTCTGCTGTGATGAATAAATGACCTATTTTGTAATTCACAGATCATTTAAACTCTAGCAGTTTCTTATTAATCTTGATAGCACAGTTGACAGACCAGACAAGTATATATATGAAAAAAAAGTCTTCTGCTTTAAAAAATCCTGGTAGATGCAGACACACATAGAATTGCTGCTAAAATCTCATTAAACTGTCATGTTTTCCTTTCTGCTTTTGCTAATCATCACAGCACTTGTGTAAATTGAACTTTTTAGCCTTGCTTTTCCTGACGAGCTTGTTCAGAGATGGTACAATCTTGCCATGTGCTGTGGTAGCTTATCATGGGAATGCTGGCTGCACCATCACAAGAGCTGCACTCTGGCTTATTAGGTAAAGCTGATGGTGGCTTGGAAGATGGACCTGGGGGTGTTGGTCACAGCAGGCTGAATATGAGCCAGCAGTGTGCCCAGGTGGCCAAGACGACCAGCAGCATCCTGGCCTGTATCAGGAACAGTGTGGCTACTAGGACTAGGGCCATCTGTGATGGTCCCCCTGTACTGGGCACTGGTGAGGTCCCACCTTGAGGGGAGACCTTCTTGCTCTCTCCAACTCCCTGAAAGGAGGGTGTAGTGAAGAGAGTGGGAGAAGACGCGTTTTCCCCCGAGTCACAGGTGATAGGAAATGACCTCAAGTTGCACCAGGGGAGGTGGGAAAAAACGCGTTTTCCCCCAAGTCACAGGTGATAGGAAACGGCCTCAAGTTGCACCAGGGGAGGACTTGGATGGATATTAGGAGAAATGGCTTCAAGCTCCAACAGGGTAGGTTTAGATTGAACATTAGGAAAGAATTTTTCACCGAAAGAGTGATAGGGCATTGGAACAGGCTGCCCAGGGAGGTGGTGGAGTCACCATCCCTGGCTGTGTTTAAGGACCGTTTAGATGGGGTACTAAGGAACATGGTTTAGGGGATGACCTTGTAGAGTAGGGTAGATGGTTGGACTCGATGATCCCAAGGGTCTCTTCCAACCTAGACAATTCTATGATTCTAAATTTCTTCACTGCAAGGGTTGTCAAGCCTTGGAACAGGCTGCCCAGGGCAGTGGTAGAGTCACCACCCCTGGAGGTATTTAAAAGATGGGTAAATGTGGTGCTTAGCAGTATGGTTTAGTGATGTTTTTTGTTAGAGTTAGGTTGAAGGTTGGACTAAATGGTCTGGAAGGTCCCTTCCAACCTGGATAATTCTATGACCTTTTAGACATAGGATCTGCATGGTTTAGTGATGTTTTTTGTCAGAATTAGGTTGAAGGTTGGACTAAATGGTCTGGATAGAGTTAGGTTGAAGGTTGGACTAAATGGTCTGGAAGGTCCCTTCCAACCTGGATAATTCTATGACCTTTTAGACATAGGATCTGCAGTGCTATGGAAAAGGGCCAGGGGTGGATCTGAATGCTGACCGCCTGGTTTTGTGTGGTGTTGTAGGTCAGGCATAAACATTAGCTCTCTTCCCATCTGCTTTGGACCGCTCTGGCAAGCTTTCTCCAGAACAAAGCTTGAGAGTTGCTCTGTGAACAGGTTGCTCAAAGGCTGCTCCAGAGGGCAGGGAGGAAAAAGGCTGGAAGAAAACCATCATCCTGTAATGCCAAAGCCTGCTGAGATGGTCTGCTTAACCCTCCTCCCTCCCTCCGGCCATACAGGGGGATGTGCACCACGTACTCTGCTTCATGCGGTGAAAATACCGCTCTGGTGGGCTGCAAGAAAGTCATCTCGCTTCTTTATGCACTTTGAACCAAGACATACAAAATAAGCACATGGAGCCGTGGGACTGGTGGAGCCTTGAGGAATCCCAGGGCCAAGTGCTCTGTAATTCTGATGGACCCCCCAGTAAGGTGAAGAGGAGCCAGTCAGTGCCAGTTGGCCTCAGGGCGGAGGTTCAGTCCCTGGCCCTGTCTCTCTTTTCCAGTACAGACGTAGCAGGGGATTGGAGCCCGAGGTTATCATCTCTGCAGAAGCTCGTTAGATCATCCCATAATAAATTTATTGACCTCTAGCAGAACAGATGGATGCGTTGACCCCACAGCTCTGATCAGATTCACTCTTTCATGGCTAGAAAACTTCCAATTTCCACCTGAAATTTATTTGTGGTTTGTTTATCCATTCTTGTGTGTGCCAGCATTGTTCTTTTAGCTTTTGTTCACTGCAATTAACCCTTCCTCCTTTCCCCCCTTTCCCTGTGCACTTACTGATGACAATAACCCTCTGAACTTTTGTTGTGAGGCTAAACAAGTCCCATTGCTCTTAAATTTTACTGTATCTTGAAATTCAGCAATGTCTCAATTATCCTGAGTCTGCTGCAATATACGGTATGTATCTAACCTGCACCCTCCAGTCTGGGTTCTGCTCAGCTCAGTGTCAGGGAAAGGGTTGTGATTGATTAAAATAAAATTGTATTTACCTGTATCTTAGTGTGACCTGAGCTGCACCACTGGAAGAAAGCATCAAAACGTGGTAGGTGGTGCTCGCTTTACCTTGGAGAATGCAAATGTTTGCAAGGCATTTGGGTATTATTGGATATTATTGATACTGTACATTCCTTAGGAGAATCTTCAAGCGGATTGAAACTTTTTTATCCTTCTAGCTACAGCATATATTTGAACAGGTTGGGAGCGTAGCCTTGTTATGTCAGACAGCGCTGGGTGTTTTGCAGAATGCCATTTTTTCCCCAGCACAAAATTGGGCTTTCGTTGTTATGTGGGAACTGACTTTTTCCAGGCTGCCAGTCAGCGACAGGAGCAGGGATGTCTCTCTGCACCAGGCCGGTTTTGAACACCTCCTTTACTAAGATGTTATTAAAATGCTCTTCCTGAAGCATTGTGTTCAGTACCGTGTGCAGAAGCTGCTTAATAATTAGACAAAATTCTGGCTTTCGGAGTCAAAAGTGAGCGCCCTCTGTTTCTGTTAGATGAATTCAAGGATTTGATGATGCTCGGTTTCCTCTCGCCGATCATTTAAAACACTGCATTTCTCTCCTATTAACGCAACTCTTCCCACTGATGCCAGTCGCCGTGCTCCTGTTATGCCCTCTGTCTCCACTGTAATCTAAGAACATCCATTTGACAACCAGTCTCTAATTAAGAGAGTTTTAAATTAAAATGACTGGCAAATTTAGAAACCTCCGAGCAATAGACAAAAATATTGAGTAAATATGCTTACAAATATTTATACAGGTTCAGATACGATAAAATATGTGCTGTGGCAAAAAGTACGCTCTAATTGAACAGTACCTGCTGTGTAAAATGAAACAAACTGTTATCAACATTTCCTCCTGTTAGGATTATGAGCACTCGGAGATATTCAGGCAAATGTTACTTTTGTAGAAGCTGTTATTTTGACAGCACAAAACTTGATAAGGCACTCTGAAGAAGTGTGATGCTCTTCTCTCTGATTGGTGGTGCCGAGCAGAGGCTTCAGCTGGAAAGGGGATCTATGGGAGAGAGTTACCACCTACAGCTACCCACTCTTCTGTCCTGCAGGGATTTCTGTCCAACTCTCGTGTTACACATCAAATATCTAGAAAGTTTGGAGAGTTGGAAACACCAAGAATAATTTTTCTCATTCTGCTTGCCCACTAAGAAATGCCTCTGTGTTCTGCTGGGAGTAGAACCAACTTGGAGCAGGATGTCCCCACTGGCTGTCACTCCAGACCCCGTTCCTTTCAATAATATTTTGGTCCCTTCCATGATCCTTGCGATGTCCAGTGTCAGGGCTCCAGCGAGTAAAGGATAACTGGGAGGTGGAGCTTGGGTAAAGATGGGGTGGGCAAGGGATGAATATGAAAAGGTGAAGATTTTACCCCAAAGGCTGAAGAAGTGGGCCAGGTGCCAGAACGCCCTGTACCCACTTCTGTGCCACGTTTATGTTGAAAAATGCCGTGCTATTGCTATAGATTTGAGTTGGGAACCCAAAATATTTGTCAAGTTGTTTAACACAGCAGCATAAAACCTTAGGTTAATAAATAGTGGTCTAGTGGGAGGTGTCCCTACCCAGGGCAGGGGGGTTGGAACTTGATGATCTTTAAGGTCCCTTTGAACTCTTAACTGTTCTATGATTCTCTAAGTCAAAACTTGCTGTGTGACAATCTATATGCATTGGAATACATTCTTTTCAAATGTAACACCATATTTAGTGTGTAATTTATCAGAATTCCTAGTCTGGCTCTGTAGTTAATCACATGGAAAGGTCATTCCCCCCAGCCCCTTTGATTGCTTCTTTAAAAGGTGATGTGTCATGGTGGTCCCTACCCTAAGCTCTTCATCAAGCATCTGAGCCCTTAAACAGTATTAAGAACCACTTTGACTAGTCCTGTGGTTCTTGTAAAATCTCTGCTCAGCACACTTTTAGTAGGTGGTAAGGATACTTCTGACACAACCCACTAAGAGCATGTTCTCATTAAGTGGTTAACCCTGAAAAATGGCCATTAATAGGGTAAATAAGAGTCTCTTATTTACAGGTTGGCTCAGGGATGAGTTCTACCTCATAAATGCCACACAAAGCAGTACGCAGTGAGGAAAGAGAGAAACTCCAGCAATTAATGCTACCAGTAATAAGGCAGTCATTCCTCTGCTTCATTCCCCCCCCCGCCCCTCCTCTCATGACTGTAGCAGGCAGTGGGAATGTCAGAGCACACACAAACTTCTCGTTGCACGGTTATTTCTTCAGCTAATGAAGCCTTTCGAGAATACTTTTCAAGCCACTTTTCCAGAATAGAAACCAACGTTGCAGACTTAATCTTATGTTGGCTATACGTGAAGATTATTTTTTTTTAAAAACCGAAGCACTGGGGGCCCCTATAGGGTATTGTAAAAATTATTAGTTTTACTAGTCTATTTAAACATACAGTTTTCAGAGTTCTCAATACTTTGCACCTGTGAAAGGATATTCTAAGTTGGATTCTCTATTGTCTGAGAGAGAACAGTATGTATTAGGAGGAGCTCTTAATAGGTTAGAAAACTTCACGACACCCCAAATGTGAACTACTTAGTCATTATCAAGAGGGGTTTTGGACTCCTGGATTTGGTTTCTGTGTCTCGCTAATGTACAAAGCTGGGCAGGTCTATAAGAAAAATCTGGGGAACAGACTATTTATCTATAAATTGGTAACGATCAATGCCAGAGGGAGGGGAATATGAGGAAGAGGGAATGAAAAGTGATGGGACAGAGCTTGAAAGTATTTGATGCCTGTACCTTCTTAAGGACCATCTAGTAAAATATTCCTTACTGGGGCCAGTAGTAGATGTCTAGGGAAATGTATAAAGCAAAGACACATGCAATGATAGTCCCCCAGAATATTCTTCCAAGTTCCAACAACCGAGGCCAAATGGGTTTGTATTTAATAGCCCTGTGGACTAAAAAAAAAAAAATATTGGGAGGAAAAACATGACTTCTGGAATCATTGCAAACTTTGAGTCCTGTACTCCTTTCTACAATACGAAATACTTGGTTGGGCTACAGTGTGCATGAAAAACCTGCCTCCTTTTGTTTTTGAAACGGGAGCCTGCTGGGTTTGTTGGGACACCCCACTGCTTTTTTTGTCTTGGAATGATTAGTCTCTGTCTCTTATTACTGTCTCTGTCTCTTCTTTCCGCACTGGAAAGTCGTAATTGTTCTTAACTTCAGATTGTGTTAAGATGATGAGGAGGCAAAATTTCTCTTCTCCCTCGCTCCAGCTGATTATCTTCTAGAAGTTATTTTTGGCCTGGAATTGTTTTTGCTTGGGAAGAGGTTTGTTGTTGAAAGTTTGTAGAAGTCTGATGAAAGAGCCTCTCTTTCTCATCAGCGCAGGAAGGAAACTTGTTGCGGTACTAATAATGAAGCTTGTCTTTTATAGCTGAAGATTTCTGAGTTTTAAGTGAAGGAAAAATATTTACTGAAAGGATTAGTTTTATTTTTTTTTTTTAAGTTCTTGTGAGCCTTTGAAAACATTCCCTCACCCCTTCCTTCTGGAGGCCTTCCATATTTTAGACTGCTGCCTAGACATAAGTATATTGTTCAAAGAAGCTTAAAAGTGATATTTCTGTCCTGTTGACATAACCTAGTTCCAGTTGCGGAAATAATGACACTCTTTTTCACTCAATCCTCTGTAACCCCAGAAAAATAATCCTCTGCCTGTTTATTGTGAAGGCTATGTAAGATTAGTGCAACTCTGTACTATACTTGGAGTTAAATGTATTTTCAGGATTTTCTAAATGTGTAGGTTCATGTTATTGTGTGTCTTGTACAATGAATGGCTTATGGTTAGAGTGTGACCCAATTAGGGTTGCAATAGAAACAATAATAACAGTAACAGAAACCTTAATGTGATGGTGCCTGCGGTGGGTTTTTGTTGGTTTAGTGGTGGGGTTTTTTTTTGTTAATTTCCTATTTTTTATGTTAGTTTCTGGCTTTAGTGGTTATGAGAAGGTATGTGGATGGCATGGCTGCGGCGACGCTGGGGGCTGCTTGCAGAAGTCGACGCTGAGCTTTCTTTAGCACGTGTTTGGTCCTTTGTGACTTGTCTGCATGGGAAAGTTCAGGTGCTGTAAGTGGGGATGTAAATTTGGACCACGTTGCCTGTTACCTAGAAAATTCCACGTAGACGTTTAGCGCATACGGAAAACATTTCCATTCCTCAAGGAATCCTGCCTGTGGAAGGGCCTGCACTCCATTATTCTCTGTGTGGTGAGAACATTCACACAGAGGTCAGTGTGTGGCAGCAGGTATGCTCTGAATTGTGCTAGGAAACTTTGCCTGGTTTAATTTTCTTATGTACGCAAGGGAGAGGAAAACTACTTTTTTTATTTTATTTAATCTGTTCTTCAGAACAAGCAGTGGAAAAACTCTTCATGTTGTCTGCACACACAGGTCTCTTAATGAGCTGGAACCCACAGCACACTCCAGCCCCTGTTTATGACTTAGGGCAGCAGGCAGGTTCTTCGTCGGTCGGTGTATAAATTATGCAACTTGCTGTCATCCCTAGGAGTAAACAGGAAGTTATCACAGAGATATTAATGTTTTTTTTAGTGGATCCTGGTGTACGACAGAAGCTGCCTCCTCCTCACCCGTGTTTTGATAATCTGCTGATGTGTAAAGCATAAAAGCTTCAACCCTCAGGTGCGATCTGTCCAGCAGGAGCTGCTGGGTTCTTATTCCTGTGGAATAAGGCAGGGAGGGAGGTCTGCTGCTCCCTGGCCGAGCTCCAATCCCTGGAGACAAACGGAGGGCTTTGTTTTCCTGCTTGGGAAGTCTGGCACCTTTTAATGAGCAGTAAACTCACTTTAATATTAAAGCTGGGACTTTTTTTTTTTTATGGTTGAGCTTGTCTTGCGTGTTCTTGGGGTGAGAGAATCTCGTGGTGGTGCTGGGCTGTTCTGGGACCCAGAGGACGGAGCTGCTGGGTTTTACGTCGCGATTCTCCTGCCTTTAAGAGCGCACAGTGCGCTCTTATAACCCTGAGACTGTTCCTATCTGTGCATGTAAACACATAAATGAGCTGTTTTATACTAGCAATTAGATACTCCAGAGAGTTGTGAAGCTGTGAGATATTGCTTCACTTAGGGTGGTTGCAACTACTTGGCCCACAGCCTAGGGCTTTGTTGCCTGCAATAGGTGTTAGCAAATGGCAATGCTAATGTGCTTAATGATATCATTACTAATCGGCAGCCTGGTCACAACAATTGACCTTCATTGATCTTGGTATTTCCACTTTTATTTCTTCCTCCCTGCCCTTTATGACAAGCTGTGCAAGCGATTTGCCTTTGAAAGGATGTAAGCAGTTATATTGTAACACTTTAATTTTAGTTTGGCTGATTTATTTTAATGAATGGTATTTATGAATTGGTTCTTCTCTTTTTTTCTCTTTTCTTTTTTATTTTTTTAATTAAATCAGTGTGCCATGCTGAATTGAATGCCATCATGAACAAGAACTCGGCCGACGTGAAAGGCTGCAGCATGTATGTTGCCTTATTTCCATGTAATGAATGTGCAAAGCTCATCATCCAGGCAGGTAAGGAGTAGTGCCAGGTTGATTTGTCAGGGTTGCAGTGCTGCCTGCTCCTTGGTATCTTATCACAGATGTATTTGATGTTAAATTGCTGCTGTTAGATCTAAATTAATTGCACTGTCAACTTCATAAGATGCTACTTGTGGGGTTTTTTTTTTGCATCTGAACGGTGCCAAATTTTTCCAGTGCTAATTGCATCTTCTGTGATTCTAAGCGTGCTTCTAATTTAGGTTTGTAACTTCTTAGACCAGGAGCTGCCAAAGAACAACACAGGCTTTGCATATAATTACTGTCAGTTTTACTGTGCTCTGACACACTGAATGGAGTAGGGCAGAAAGAAATAAACTTCTGCATGACAAAAGGTCTGTTGGGAGTATATACATGAAATTTTAATTTGAATGTGATGCATGGTAGATATTTGAAGATTTTAAAATATCTTTGCTCATAAATGTCATAAGACTTCTATGATCCTACTTTAATTATGTCTTTCATTACAATTGTTATAAATCTGTTCCACTGCAGCAAGTGTGCTGGCCTAAATGTGTCGCCTTTTTTCAGATTAGGCAGTATCTGCAGTAGGCTTCGATAAAAAATCTCCACTTAAGGTAGCATATATTTTGCTCATTGAGTAAAATCTTGCAAGCCTGGCACGGATTGCTCTTCTGGGGAGTTTCTCTCACCTCTAATGAGCACAGGAATCTAGGAAGGAAGTAGCAAACGCTTTATTTTGGTCAGTAAGGTTTGAAATGGAGAGAGGTGGAGGGGGAAAGATGATGGCATTCGGTGTTTGTGCTACATTTCTCTTATTTAGTTAATCAAAATCTAAATGGTCTTCAATTTGATGGCTACTTTTCCTCGATGCAGCCACTCATCCTTTTCCTCACGTGCTTGGGCCAGCACTAAATGGCAATGTATTGATGTCTGGTAAACCCAGTAGGATGTCCATAGGCTCTGAAACGCTTGGGAATTCTCCTGGGTCAGCCTTTAGGCTTCTCCCCTGCCTGAGTGATTTAGGCACAGGTCATTCCGAAATTTGGGACAGCGTTCATAAGGATTTGAACCTGGGATTGGGAGTTCTGTATAAAACAGAGAACAAAAGGAAAAAAAAGCATCCTTTTATAGCTATGCATTTGGAAGGGGAATAGGATTTGGGGTTTAAGTTTTTTGGAGGGAATTTTATCTATTAGAGAGATAGAAAAGTAAGTTTTCAATTACTTTTGTAAAAATGCTTAATTTCTAGTCTTGTCTGTCTTGGGGCTTTTGCTCACAAGTTTTTGGTTCTAGTTTTCTGAGTTAAACTTAGGTGAAAAGGGGAATTTTCCAGCATTTTTGAAAGAACCCTCTTCCAAAACAGCTCTACTTCACATTTACCTTACAATCTATAGTATTTTAGGAAGTAGAGCTGTACCAAGGAGTTCCAGAACATGTGGATGAATGCTACCTTTTCTGATTTTGGGCACCAGACATTCCTTTTTTTTTTTTTTTTAGTGTAATTCTAACATATTTTTTCTGTATGACTCTTTTAGGCATAAAGGAAGTTATTTTTATGTCTGACAAGTATCATGACACTACAGAAATGACAGCTGCTCGGCGGATGTTTGATTTAGCAGGTGTTATATATAGGTAAGAGAACTTGGGATTAACTTTATTTTTATTTTGGAAAGGAAGAAAATGGTGTGTGAAAGAGACCAACTTTAGGGCAAAAGTTCTTCTTTGCATTGTGCAGTGTTTTACTCTTCGGTGGTGTTTTGTAGATGGCGTGCTAGGATGCCTGTGAAAGATACTGGATTGACAGACTGCTGTACCATTCTTTTGGCCTTGTCTGTGGTTAAATTTCAATTTCATAATCTTTGTATGAGAAAATGGTCCATTTGGAATACTCAGTCATTCCTGGACCACAGGAGAAATTGCAAATGGGGTGGTTTTTGGTTACGTTGTACTGGGGGAGAGTCATCAACCCTGCTCTGAGCAGGAGGTTAAACTGGGTGATCTTCTGAAGTCCCTTAAACCTCAAGTGTCCAGTTCTTTTTTTGTTGTGGATTACCCAATCTTTGTTGAAACTTTAGTATCTTTTTGTTGCAGTCAATTTGGGATGGTGTCAAACCAGCCACCCATAATTAATTCTTGGTGCCTGTAGCTGTCCGTTCTTCTTTTGTCAGCTTTTCATGTGAGAAAAGGATAAAACTGAATATTTGCCTTAAAGTAATGAGAATCTGAAAAATGTTTGAAGAGTGGGGTTTTTAAAGACACTGACAGAGATACCTAAAGACAGTCTGTTCAACAGCAAGTTTGATAGCAATAACACGCTGGGGGTGAGGCTAATTATGCAGGCAGGGAGGTTTTTGCAACTCTAAAAAGTTTTACAATATTAATATAAAGACTTCGAAAAATTTGCAAACATAACAATTCTGACAGATAAAATTTTAGGATGAAAGGTACCTACTGGGCTAAGAAACATCTGCGAAAAAACACAGCAGTACTTGAAATTCAGTTTTAGTCCTTCAGTGTATTTCCTTTCTACTAAGACCATTTGACAAAGAGGCATAAATCATTCTCTTGCAAGTCAAATCTTATAACTTCTCCAGGGTGAGAAGTCTTTCCTGCATTTTGGATTGTTATTCTGGACCAAGTATCCAGAGTTTCCGTGGTCAGCAGCAGGGGCCTTTCTGTGTTGACTGTTATTCATTCTTGTATTGATTGTTAAGGATGTAGGTGGTACTTAATGAATCTCTTGAACTGAACTGCAGACCTTAATTAGGCACTAAATCCACACTATTTGCATAATCCTTTATTTACTGGTAGACTGGAAAATATATGCTGGGTCCCCAAATACCTTCTTTGCTAATTGCTGTAGCAGATGCTCTAATGATAATAAAAGGAAACATTTTGTGGCAGTATTAATTTTACAGTTACAATTTTTAAATGATTCCCTCTTAACTAGTTTGGGTTTTCCCCCAGTATGATGCATAATGTGATCTATTCCCCTAGCACAAAAAAAAAAAGCCTTTAATATAGTGAGGCAAGGTTTGAAAGTGTTCTTTGAAAATTTGGCAGGAAAAAAAGTGATCAAAATAGTCATCAAAATATATTCCAAGTATCTTTTGTATGTACATAGGTATACATATATGTGTATATATAATACATACGCAGTATATTAAAATATTTTTATGTCTACATGTATGTGTACCTATAAATATTTTAAAATATAATTGAAAATATATTTGAAATGTAAATACATATGAAGAAAAATCCCAGCCCTGGTATCATGATGCCACCACCTGCAGCAAAGTTGTTAAAAGTCCTTTGACTCCTGGGTAATTTATGAACTCCAATAGCCGAAGAACGTACAGGCGAACACACTCCATGTGTCTTTTTTGTCTTAGTCTTTCTTGTCCAGGTTTTTCTCAGTGTGGTGCACTATAATTGGCTCCCGTAGAGATGAAAACTATGTGAATCCAAGAAGGTTGTTTTTTTTTTTCCCTTATTCCTTCAAAAATTTAGCTGGAGCTAAAGCAAGCAAAATGTTTTAACTACTCGCTAACTAATATCTGTATTTTTCTTTATTTTAGGGAATTCAAGCCAAAGTGTAACAAGATCATCATCGACTTTGATTCAATTAACAGCAGACCAAGTCAAAAGCTTCTGTGAATTAAGTCTCATTAAGTCTCTAGAAGAGTGTGATTATCCTTTTCTAAAAAGCTGCTAATGCCTTTCATCTTCAAGTTACTTGCAACTTTTTAATGGCTTCTGTAGCTAAAGTAGACTTCTTAAGAAATCCAAGGCATAAAATGTAGCCCCCTCACTTCAGTCTTGTCATGTGGAATCTAAATCTGCTTAAAAATTTTTTAATGCCTTTATCGAAACTGCTTAAAAAGTCTGGAGACATGTCGATGAGACAATGTAATGTATGTAAAGAAAACTGTTGTGATTCTTGCTGTGTTCCTCACCACCTGCTCTGATGGGCTGTCAGCGCCCATTTCACTCGGCTGAACAGTAGCGCTCACTGGAACCAGCAGTACGTTGGGATATGCTAATATATGCTGATCTCTCTATTGGATACATGGATCTAAATAGCTCATCCTAATAAAGGACAAAAAAATGTTAGCTGTGCAAATACTAATCCTCCAGCTACCACAACACTAATATTTAAAAGATATAATTTTAAGAACGTGAGACATTCTGCATGCGTTATCCAACAAATGAAATGCTGATTTTTCTTTTAATTTCTATTTAATGCTGTTGTACCTGGGATGGGGAGAGAGAGGAATTTGTTCTGAGACCAGTCCCTGCTTTACAGGTGATTTCAGCTCCTTGTTTTCCCCAAAGCTCTAGAATTGGAAGGGGCTGAGGGAGTAAATCATTTGGCTCTTTCCTTTCAAGACTCTCACTTGGAGCTGATTTTCATGTGTCGAAGGAACTGATTCTATTGGTCTGAGCTGTTCCTAGACAATCCAACGCAGCTCAGTCTTCAAATCAACCTGTATGGTAACTCGGTCATTTTTTTGTCCTTTGAGAGAAATTGGAGATTGTCAATCCATATCTGTGTCTGTGCCAAAAGAGGTAATTACGGTGTTAGCTTGTTTCCCAGTGCTGGCGTAGTACCTTCATTTTCGTAAATGTTGCCTAAAATAATATCCTTTTTAATTTTATCTTGAGATCTGGGAATAGATTGGAGTTCCTTTTTCTCTAATTTCATTTTTTTTAAATTAAATATGCCTAATGGCTTTGTTTAGATAACATTGGTGGTTGGTTTTTTTGTTTTGTTTTTTAAACATGGTTATACTTCAATGAGCTTTTATTTTCTCTATAAAAGCTTTGTTTCATATTTTGGGACATTATGTAATTTGGCTTCATACCAGTATTATTAAAGTCTTATTAAAATCCACTACGTTGAAGTAGACTCGTAATTATAATATTAAGCCATGTGCTTGGCTCCAGAGTGCTGCTGTTTTTGCAATCATAAGCAAAGCATATTTTGTGCATTTGTGATATTACATAAAGTGTAATGCTCATGGACCATTTGGCTACTAAAGGGAGCTTTGTAATGTATTATAAGATGTGTCCATTTATAAAGTAATTTCTGACTTGTTTTTTTCTTCTTTTTTTTCCCCTACAACTGTTTTCCACCTCGAAATTGGTCTGTGGCTCACTGCCAGGAGAAGAAATTTGCACATATGTGGAGGGGGAGGTGAAACCTGAAAAATTACTTTAATAAAATGTCACTAAAACAGCTTATGCACATCTTTTTCCCTGGCCTGAATTAATAAGTAGAAGCATTTTGACTTAAACTGATCTGACAATGGGACAGAGGGAAGAGGAGCTGCAGAATTTTTGGGTTTGGCAGCAAAATTGCTATTTTCTTCGTAGATAATTGCTGATGTAAGTTCAGACTGAAAAGATACATCCATTGTGATTCTGGTTACTTAAGTATTTTTCTGTCAGGCCTGGGATAATGGGAGCATATAATGTGCATAAAAACTGAGGAGTTCTTTGAATCAATGTCCAGGTGTTTTTAGAAATGTAACCACTTTTTATCATTACTCTTTTTTTCCCCCCCCAGGACTTTCCTGTTTGTGTAACAAAGAGCAAAACTGGAGATTATGAAAGCCTTTTAGATTTCTTCCAATCAATTTTTGATCCGATAGAGCCACATACACAACTTTTCAGAGCAACTGTCAGGTGACTCAGGCTGGTAAGTGGCTTCTCTGAGTTCCAGGGCACCCTCATGGAGAGGGAGAAGCACACACACAACTTGAGACAGCGTGTGCTTGGTTTGGGGTTAATGTTTTAGAGCAAAACTTAAAGAAGGTTTGACCCTTACTTTGTATCCGTGCTGAGAAATCTGTGTGCTGCTGGCTTTTTTTTCTTTTAATAGTTCAGGAATTGCTTTGGCTTGCAAATAAAGAGTAATTACTAGAGGAAACAAAGAAGACAGGTTAATTTAATGAACAGTGTTTCTGCTCCTGAAGCTTAAGTTCAAGACGAACAGAACCATTTGGTCTGGAAGGACCTCTTGAGGGTGTTTAGTCTCACCCCTTGCTGAAAGCACCGTTGACTTACAAGTTAGATCCAATTGCTCAGGCCTTGTTGGGGTGAGTATTTCCAAGAACTGGGATTCTGCAGCCTTTCTGGTCATCCATTCCCGTACTTGACCCTCACTGTGTCTTTCTCTTTTTTTCTTCAGTCAGAATTTCCACTGCTACACCTTGTGTCTGTTGCCTCTCATCCTTTTGGTGTACGTGTCTGAAAAGGGTCTTGTCTGTCTCCTCTATTACCACCCATTAATTAAGTAGTCCAAGTCAGGGGTGAAGTTCCTCCCACCTTTAAGCTTCTCTTCTTGAGGCTCAACAAATGCCTTCATGCATCATGTGCTCCGTCCTCTCATCACCTTAGTGTCTCCCCACTGTCTGTCTCGTACTGGGGACCCCAAAGATCACACCACTTCAGATGTGATCTTAGATAAGCTCAATCTGGTATAGCCTGGTACATGGATAGCCTCCTCTGGTGCAAGGGCACTTCACCTCTTGTCCACCTGGATTCCTGGGTCCTTTTCTTCCAAGGTTCCTTCCATCCAGTGGCCACCTAGCCCATTGTTCTGTTCCTGCTGTAGGATTTAATTGTGTTTCCATCAACCCATTCCTCCAGCCATTAATACAACTGGGCTTCGAACCGCTGACTCCTTGAGGCTGATGGATCACCATTGTGAAACTTCACGGGTCTCATGGTGGCCACCAGCACCTCTCCTGTGGCAAATCTCACCCCCCCTCTGAGCCTGCTGGGGACAGGGCTGAGCCTTCGTTAGGGATTGCTTGAAAAACCCAGTACAGGAAGCTGAAAGGAGACTCTGGGGAAGCACTTTGGTAGGAGCATTAATTGGAGGAAGAAATCACAGTGGAATAAAACACTGAGATCCCATCCAGTTCAATCTAACTGTCTGAAAGGTTAAATCTAAACCCTGCCATCATCTAGGTTTTCCTTCTAAGTATTATACTCCATTCCCCTGTCAGAGAACTCAAGGAACTGGCAATCTTATTTACATAAATTTCATTTAAGAAAGGGTGGTTTCGCGGGCTGGCGTACTGAACGAGAGCATAATCTCCATCTTTGAAGCTTTGATCACTGACTGAGCATTTTATTGCTTTGTATATTAGGAATATTTTCACAAAGGTAACAAAAAGTATGCTGTGACCGGGACAATTGTTCTGATCTCCAAAATAGCCTGTGATAACGTTGGCAATAAAAGCTCTTCTGGTGCATCGCTCAGCCTGAAGTCTCCACGTACAGAACGACAGAAGCTGCAGCAGTTCATCAGCTACAAAAAAAAATGAATCTTGTGGGGATTTCAGGCTGTTGAGATACAATTTTTCGTTTGTTTTGCTTGTGACTTTCCACTCTTGGCTTTTCTCTCTGAAGCTGGGAGATGGGGAATCTCAATGGAATAGAGGTGGGACGAAGGGCAGAGGTCTCACCTGGGTGTCCTGAAGTGGCAATTATCCAGAGGAGGGTCTCACCTGGGGGTCTGGGGTCCCTTCCTGAGGTGGGGCTGGGGCTGTGGGGAGCCGGAGGGTTGTGACAGAGCAGGGAGGAATATACTCTGTAGTCACCCACTGGGGGTGGTGTGGGTGGGTTTCTGCTGTGCTGTGAGCACTGGGGGATGAGGGACAGAAGTGACCACAGCTGAAAGGCCATTTACTGGTTCCCAGCTGTAGGAAAGAAAAGGATTTTACATAATAAAGGGCTGAAAGTGTGAGGTATGGACTCTTGGTACTCTTGGCTCAAAGGGTTTGCACCACTAAAGCCTCCTCTAGCAGATTTCTCTCTCCCCTTCCCTTTAAAATCCAGGTTTGTCTAATGTAAAACTCTCTCTGATTTGGGAACAGAGGGGGAAAACTTGTTTCAAGTGCTTAGTCTGCATCTGCCCAACGTCCTCAGCATTGGGAACTGCTGAGAGGGTGGAAAAGCATTAAACAGAGCTGACTGTCTGAGAAACCCTGTATCAGAGACCCTTAAATCCATGTTCCCTTCCTTTTACGCTTCACTCACCTGTTTACTTTTTCAGACTTGAAGGAAATGAGGGGAAAAAAGGTACCCGCAAGGCACTGATGGGTAATTGGCTGCTGCCCATTGTGAGAAGGGCACCCTCTTTCTGTGACCTGCTCAGCAGAAGGGCAGCACTTAAAAACAGAGATATAAGTGACAGGGTACATGAATTAACAGTCACTTGTTTTGTCTCTCTCTCTCTACCCGATTTTTTTCTGTTCTTAGAAGGAATTACGGATTAGGGGTTGGAATGGGAAGCTGCTACTTCTCTCTTGCATCCTTCAGGTTCCTGCTGGAAAACCCAGCCTCTGTCAGGGCACTCTCCCTCATCCAAATATGAGGCAAAAAAAAAGAAAGAAAAAAATCAAGCTCGGTGTGCTGAATTTTTGGTTGTTGACATTATTTACTGTGCTCTTAACAAACAGTGCCCTAAGGAGAATGAGAATAATGTGCTCCAGCAGCAAAATATGCATAATAAAGAAGCAATTGCCTACGGTTCCCTGGGATTTCTTACTCCTCGCTCTCTACCTCCCTATCCCTTCATTGTTTCAAGCTAATGTGCATTTCAATTCTGCCGTGCAAATGTTCAGACGGGCTCCCTGCACCAGAAGAGGGGAAACAGAAACACATTCAAACCACCTCTTCGGTGGCATCAGTTGTGCCTTGGTTTGCCAGAGCCTTGGGTACGTTCTTCACTTGGCCGCACGGCTCTGCTGCTGCCGCCACTTGACTCCCACCAAAGTCTTTTTACGTGGCATACCTTCTTCTAAGTGGGATTGTGGGTTGGTTTTTTGTTTTTTTTTCTTCCCCCTCCACCGTTCAATCAGCTCTGACTGCTAATCAGAATGTTGCTGGGTAAACAGGACTGATTAAAATTAAAATTTTAATTTTGCGTTGTAAACAATACGGCACTTTAATATTTGTACTGTTATTAAAGATACTAATAATAATGCATCTAGTGTTTTGTGGTGCGGTTGTCATATTGATTTCTTGAAGTGCTGACAAGTTTTGCTAAAGAGCTTCACATCCAGATGCCAGGATTTTGTATTCCATGTATTCCCTTTTTCAAGGGTGGCTGTACTTAATTATATTGGATGTGGGTATCCTATTTATTCTTTCTGGTTTTAAATCTCATGGGGAAGAAATGTTTGTGACAACTGGGGATGTGATGCTGTAAGAAACAGCCACATCGTGAATGCCTTCATCTATAGAAATCTACTTGTTGCTGTTAATGTTGTGTGTGTCTGTCTTCCAGGAGAAAAGCCAGGAGCTGGTTAGGTGTGGAAACACCTGAAAAGAGTGTTGGCTGGTGCTTGGAGAGCTGCCCTGAGGACAAGGACAGGGGGGAGACTAGAAAGTCCTGGACACCAGAACAGATTTGTGATGGGATGTTGAAGTCTGATGATGAGAGGAAGCGAGAAAAGGAAGCGCAGGAGGTCTGTTACCTGTCAGGCCCTTCAAGGCCAAAGGGAGCTGTCTGGAAACGGGGAGGGAAAGAACCTCCCTGTGATTTGGAGGAAAAAAAATGTAGAAAGAAGGAGGGCGAAGAACCTGAGCATGTCTTGGTGAGCCTGCCATAGTAATGATAGGACAAGGGATAACGGTTTTGAACCAAAAGAGGGGAGATTTAGATTAGATATGAGGAAAAAATCCTTTCTTGTGAGGGTGGTGAGAGCCTGGCCCAGGTTGCCCAGAGAAGCTGTGGCTGCCCCATCCCTGGAGGGGTTCAAGGCCAGGCTGGATGGGGCTTGGAGCAACCTGGTCTGGTGGGAGGTGTCCCTGCCCAGGGCAGGGGGGTGGCACTGGGTGATCTTTAAGGTCCCTTCCAACCCAAACCATTCTGTGATTCTATGTCATATGAGCCTCCTCTGAAGGAACTTTTCAAAGGGGCCAGGGGACACGTATACTGAAAATCTGTGTTTCTGTTGTGCTAACTAGAATAATTGTTTTTGGAACTGATAGTCTTCCTAAGTGCTTCCAGTGGCCCCGGCCACTAAGTGGTGACTGTGTGGCTGGTTTATGGAAGTACATTGAAATTACTGGTGGGGCTTGATGCAGCCAGACTAGAGCCTCTGCTCCAGGGGGTCCCACAGACTGGGGCACTGCGAGGGAGGGGGACTCTATCCCACCAAGAGTCAGCATCCCTGCTCTGAAAATAAACCTTCCCCACAGCTTTCACAGTGTGGCAGC